CATTGAATTATAGAGGATATTAGGAAAACTCATTTTGGATGCCTTTCCCCAGTGAAATTTTACCTTTGACATAGTCAACCACTCGTAATTGGGGTATGCCATATATAGAGCCCAAGATATTAAAGTATTAATTTAGGAGCCTATGGAAAGATGAAGTGCAGTCTCAGCAATCAACTGAACTATAAACAGCAGCGCTAAGCTGACTTCAGAATATTTCTTAGTTGAGCACTGCCCACTAGACAGCTTTTTGATATCATTCTGATTGAATAGGGTACTTAGGAGTCAAAAAAGATGTGGTTTCTATAAATACAGTAAGCTCGAACAGAAGGTATTTAGGAAGAAGCTAACTTTTCGTCTATGTGATCATCATCATCCGCATCCGGGCATTGCCTAGCTGGCGTCTGATTTTATAGGGTATTTGCTAGTCAAACCATATTGTGGACTCAACTCACTGGTTTCTATTAAGTCGGTACGCTCAATAAAGCTGTTATAAAACATTAAGGAAAGAAATTTATAAATTCATGAATTGCAAACAGAGCTCGACAGAAGCGAAACGTAATGGATGTGATCTGTTAAGGACTTATAAATTATACTCAAACAACTGAATGAAATTGTGTACAACAAGCAAGTGATAATTACAAAATGATGAGTTGAGTTTGTTGTTGTTGTTGCTGCTGCTGCTGCTGTTGCTGGCGACTTTGTTGGCTTATCTTGGTGTGCAGTCAGAGGGAAATGTGACGCTGAGACAACCACAGAGGCATCCGCAGAGCTGAGTAGAAGTATCCCGTAAGCCGTAAGAACTGCGAACTGCGAACTGCGAACTGTGAACTGTGAACTGTGAACTGCGAACTGTGAACGGTAACCTCAGAGGCCATATAGCCCCCGGCCGAGCTGCGTAGGATTCTTATCGAGCCACCTAGCTGTGCCCCATTCTAGTGAGCTTACCCAATTATGAAACATTAAAAATACGCGCATATAAATCGCTTCATTTTTATGCGCAATTATAGCACGGCTCCGACTACGGCCGTAGACGCGTTGCCTGGCTGCCTCGCCTTGCCGTCTCTCAATTAACTTAATTCCCTTTTGCATAAACTGGATGGATGACTGGCTGTTGGATGCGGGGCTGCTGGGGGGAGGCAGGGCTGCTCGGCTGCTGTTCTGTTCTGCTCATTTGGCCCAACGCATTGCTCATGTATTTTATCTGTATATAATTTTTTCTTATATATATATGTGTGTGTGTGTTTGTTTGCTCTACGGATTTTACAGCTCAGTCGCGTAAACTACTCAACCGTGTGCACTTTGGCCAAAGTGTCAAATGTAAAGTGGAAGCGGAAAAGTGTGCAGCAAGCAGACCTACAAAAAAAATTATTAGCTGCCGGAAATTCAATCCGCATAAAAAAAAGAAAAAACGAACGCAAAAGAAAAAACAAAACAAAATCAGAAAACAGCTAGAAAATTGTAAGAAATATTATATTAAACGCTGTCACTATGGAAAATGCGTTCGTTTGGCTAATGCGATTTTAGACAACGGCCGACATTTAAGCAGGCTCGACTCCAACTTCCAGTTAACGAGCCGTTGGCTGTGCCGCCGTGTAGCGCTCTAATGGGATTACGATGCTGTCAGCGACAACACCCAGCAAAGAGAACAAGTAGAAGTCGAGCGAAAAGAATAAGTAGAAGAAGAAGCACCAGCAGCAACAGCAACAGCAACAACAACAGCAACAGCAACACCAACCAGCAACAGCAGCAGCAACAGCAAAAGTCCGAGCCAAGTCTCGACTTTGTAGCTGATTATCTGGCCACGTTGACAGCTAAAATTCAAGAACAACAACGGCAACACCAACAACAACAACAACAACAACAACAAGTGTAAGAAGCAAAAGAAGAAGAGCATCGGTAACGGAAAACACGAACAATACCAAGAATATCTGACGGCGAACGGAATGTGTTCGAGCAGCGAGCGCTCTGGCCCAGTCCCCGGACAACAAGACGTTAATATTATTATACGCTTTGTAAACAAATTATGAATTATGTTGGATAAATAGAAAAACTTAATAATAACTTGATTGCGGCATTTGCTTGGCGTGGCTCCTGCTCATCTTCTGCTCAGCTCCTACTCGGCTCCTGTTCAGATTCTGCTGCCACTGCCGTTGGCCTTAACATTCAGTCAAAAAAAAAAAAAAAAAAATGTGACAGGAGAAAGATACACGCATTCAGATACTTTCAACAAGTTTCGATAGATTATATACGTAGTAAATACATATAGTCGTAAATGTGAGAATAAATTATATGTATTCCATGTGAATACAATGAAAATAA